TCTGATGCATTGAGCCCCTCTTGGTCGTGCTGCTCACAGCGTCCAATCAATGAGTGAACCCGAGGTTTGTTACTTAAAAATGCAAGCCCTTCGGGAGCCCAAGTAGCTCAGTTGGTTAAGTGTCTGACCCTGGTTTCAGCTCAGGTCATGATCTCACGGTTTAGGTGTTCGAGCTCCGTGTCAGGCTCTGTGCTGACAGCATGGAGCCTGCTTGGGATTCTCCCTCTCTTTCCCTCTCCTTCTACTCCTCCCCCACTTGCATGCACACTCTGTCTCTCAAAATACAAAAAAAAAAAAAAATTAAAGAAATCTTTAAAAAAAATGCAAGGTTTTGTTTCCTGTAAGAGACTCATCCTCACAACAAAGCATGAAGATAAAACGTAATTTATGTGTACAGATCTCCAAGGTTTGGGCTCAAAGGGGAGTTAGACATGAGGCCTGTGCTCAAATCACGCACTTTCCTGCAGGGCCATACCAGGGTTCTGACACCACTGAAAACCAATTATGAAAAAATACTGAGACTAAGCGGACAAAAACTCTTTGGAACAAGTCCTTAGAGGGAAAAACTGTGATCCCAGATTTCCTGCCCTCACTAGAAATTTCCTTGACAAATCGTTTCAGGTAGCCTCTGGAAATTTCCACCCACTTGTTCCCACCGGCAAGGCAAGCAGAAGCTAATGTAGTGGGAAGAAAATGACACCTTTGTTTTTGGACACAGTAAGACTCATGATTCAGGTTTTATAACATTTGCAGCACACTGATTTATACTGGTTCAAGAAAAACAGTTGGCTATTAAGTGGGGGCTGTGGGGGGGGATAAAGAACCACAACAAAATGAAACATTGCATTTAAGGGAAGGATGCTGCAGTAAGAAATAGAGGGGAAATTCAGGTCCCCTGTAGCATGCTTTTGGATTGCCTGCAACAGCTGACTGGTATGAGTACAAAAGAGGACATTAAAAGTCATAGGGCCGATTCAATACTTAAAAATGTTCAATGTGGCAAAAAACAATTTGCCTATAAAGTAGATATATAGACAGTCTTTGTATGAATCTTTGTAGAAAAGGAAATTCAAAAAATACTCAAGTCACATGTTTGTATTTGTTAATCAAAGAAGTATAAACTGAGGCACTACTGAAATATCCTTGCATATCTAGCAGAGAAGCACAGTAGATAATTGGATTCGATCTCTCCCAAGACCAGGAAGAGGTCAAAGTGCCACACAACTATCTAACCTTCTGGCTGTGTTATACACAAGCAGGATCCTTTTGAGAACTTAATAATATATTGACCACATAGGTTTAAACTTGCCACAGTAATTCCATCCGGAGGATATTTTTGTTTTCTTTTAACGTACTGGGAGATCAAATTGAAATCTGAACAGCTACATAATGAAAGAAGCCTCCCTCTAGGCATTATGCGCAATAGACGAGAAGATAAACCACTCAACTAATGGTTTAGTAAACTCTGGGATTGCAACTGGCTGGACTAACTACGTGACAAATAAAAGTGATAATGAGAAAGTCTATGCATACATTTTGAAGACACAGACACAGTTGTTATGAGCATAAAGCAGATTGTTAAGCTGTATGGACCAATACAACTATGTTCCAATTGTGTGTTGTGAGATGGAAGTTGCAACGGATGAATGCAAAGTGAAAATGAAAAAAGGCTGATCAGGATAGGAAATTATAAAAGATTTTCACTTATGAAACTACCTTTTAACATCAGTCGATATTGATTAAAAGGCAAACACCTGCTTTTAAGAAGAGACAGTCCTATTCTCTCACCATTCAGTAGCAATGAAGAGAACTGACATGAGTGAATAGTTAAGAGTGTGGGCAGGGAAGTTCATCAGGAGAATTGTAATACACACAAAGGATTACCCTAGCGAAAAGAATTTAATAAAAACAAAGCCAGGCTAAATGCTATGAGAAGATTTTAATAATTCATTCTGAATTCTCTTCCCGCTAATCTCGCATTCACCGTTGAATGCAGCTCTGCCATACGATTCAGGTTGGCATTAAAACATCTAGACATTAATGCTAATTAAATCTGCCTTTTCGTTCTGAAAACCTACATTCTTCTCTTTAATATCAAACATATGCAGTACAATTCAAGTATAATTCAATACTCTAAAAAGACTTTAGATTCTTTTACTATTTGGTAAATAAAATCAGGAAACTGACTATCTGATGTGGATACCATCTTGTTGTGCATTTCTCATCTCGATTTTAGAAGTCAATGATAAAAAATAGTTGGTGCAACATTTATTCTGCTTCACATTGTGGACTTCTCCTGTTTGTCAGAACCTGAAGGTAAACTTCCATGTTTACTGTTGAGTGCAGGTGTGGATGTGCTTGGGTTTCTCTCTAGCCATTTGAATTACAATACTAAGGAATTAATTTAAGAACAGTCTTTATGTGAGATTTCCAAATCTAATATAAATTAGTGCATTTTATTGTCATGAAAAGTGTAAGCATAGCCTTCATTGAAAGATTAAAAGATAATGTTAAACTCCCATTTTATTCTGCATAATAGGAAAATAAAGCTGTACCATTTTCAAATAGTTTCAACTTTAAATCAGCATTTGTCATGGGGTATTTTTGCCTACACCTCAGGAAATGTCTCTGAAATGAACTAACTAAAGCTACATCTATTTTGAATAGTAGAAATGGAAAAAGTCAAACCACTTTGAAAGTGCAGTGTTACTTGTGGTCCTAATACCCCAATCAATGAATATGATACTTATAAAACAGTTATGGGATATCAATCTATGTCTCCCATGTAACAATAGTCAAATTTTAAAACTGCTCACAGGATAGCAGAGAGAATAATTTGGACAACCTGGTCATAATTCTAGGATTAAGTGCAGATTTAACTGAATTAACTTTCAGTAAATTAATGAGGAGGTAACATAGGCTTGTAGTTTCAAAGTCGGAGGTATCCCCTTTGGGGTCATAGTGTATCAAGTTCTCAGACAACTACGTATGACCTTGCACCAGGGTAACATAAGAACATCAATAACCAAGGTGGTGACGCTTTGTTGAGGCCACCATGGCCTCTGTGCAGTTTCTTGAACACATTATACACACTCCCACGTGAGCTCTCACATTTGCACTGTTGCTCCCTAGGAGCGAATGCTCTTTCTTGGAGATATTTGCATAAATCATTCCTTCATTCCATACAAATCTTTGATGAAATCCCTTGTTGGATGGGACTACTCGTCTTTCCCATCCTGTCACATCTTCTACCTCTCTGACTCCTGTCTTTTTTTTCTATTTATTCCATCTACCCCATTACATATTCGTTTGCTTAATCATCGGTTTCCCCCCAACACAATGCACACTATTTGAGAGTAGAAACTTTAATTTTTCAATGCTAGATCCCCAGCAGCTAGAGCAGTGCTGGCACATAATTGGTGCTCAGTGCATATTTACCGAGTGAATGAATAATGAATACATAAATGAATGAATGAATAAATGGGAACAGAAGGAGTGAACATGAGTTGATCAGAAGGGAGAGATCACTTTGCTGCTAGTAAACAAATTATGAAGTAATATTTTATTCATTTGGTTGCAGATGATATTTTCAATTAAGCTTATTAAAGCTTGCAATAGAGCACAAAGTACACAGCCATTCAAATAAAGGAGGAAATTCTGTGTATTCTGTCAACCACGGAATATAATGCTCCTTTCAGAGGAAAAAGGTCTTGCCATACATCATAAGAAAGAATACACTGTGTAGGACTTGAAAACTAGAATTTCAGGCACACCAAACTGAAATGGAATTTCACAGAGGAGAACCTGCTGTCTCAGATCATCTTTCTCCCACTTTCTACCCTTCACCTGGACCCATCAGAACCTAGTTCAAATATCACCTTCTCTGGAAAGGTCTACCCATCTCAAAGATCTGTTTTCTTTCTGAATCTTAGTTTTTAGCTGTAACTTTCCTAGGCCATTTACATTTTCTTGCAATGTAGGTTTGTTATTTTTGTAATTTTTTCTTATGCTCTCTTATGATATCTTATTATTATTTTTTGTCATTGGCTGTTCATGCTGTATTTATGTTTCTAACATGAGCATCACCACTTTATGACATAACACTGCAGTCCTTTGCATACATGAAGTACCAGGTATATCTGACTAAACAATACCACCATCCTCAAAATCCAACTGGCCCAGTTCTAAGAAGAGGCTATGATGGGTGACAGGACACTATTTGCCCACTCAGATTACAATGAGGACTAAATTCTGCTTTATTTTTACTTTTACTACGTGGTTTCACCTCCTTGTGAAGATGGCGAGATGAGAGAGGAGGAGTACATGGTTATGGAGAAGGACTTGACATGGGGTCCTCCACCCACATTTTGCAGCTGATACAGCTGTATGAGATCATCAACCCACCTTGGCTGCCCCAGACTGAGCACAGTTGCCTAAGACAAACTACTGGAACTGGACGCATCTAAAATCTTCCCTTCCATTTTCAGGAACGCATATTGTATGGGCTCCTGGACTTAATTTTGCCCAAAGTAGGAAGACAGTAGTAACCCTAAGGCAGCGCCTACCTCACAACAACTGGGTACAGAAACCCAAACCACTGAAGAGTGGAATGTCCATCAACTGTAGTGAAAAAAGTTTTGGTTAGCTAGTGGCCCGCTCCTACCAGGCAAGTTCCTACAGTGAACAAAATCGGTGCACAACTTTGTACCTAAAGTATAAATCTCATAATATAAACACAAGGGTGATGAGCATCTGGGCAGATATGATATAGTGATATAAATATGGGATTGCATTCATGTATATGAATAAACAGTCACTGAAAATATAACTAAAGCCAGAAAAACTGTGTAACAATGACCTGATTTCCTAAATCTTATTCCAAATACATCTGAGTCCTTTGCATGTTTCCAGTTATAATTTCACGTAACCGAAATAGAAATAAGAACCTATGAACGAACTTCAGTATGACAGCCGCAGGCAGGGCAGGGTGGTTCACATACCTGTGCACGCCACTGTTGCACATGATGATGTGGCAGGCCCCCAGCCTGTTGCACAGCTCCGAGGACACAGACAGCAGACCAACCCCGGAGGCGCTGCAAGCTGTGTTTGCACAGGCGGCCGTGCGCTTGGATCTGATAAACGAGGCTACCAGTCGATAAAGTTCATCCAAAGCATTGAGAGGCCTCATTAGCTGCAGAAGAAAAAAAAAAAAAAGTCATGGGCATAAAGACCAGCACATTTAGTAGGAAGAAATGCTTTTAGATGGCATGTGATTCATAGTTGTTATAACTTTTAATGAATAGTCTAAAATATTTTCATTGTGGCAGTAACAGAGTTGGAGACTACAAATATGTATAATTTGTTTAAGAACAAATTGTTGAAGACAACAGCAGAAAATTTTTTAAAAAGCGTGGTGTGTAAATGGCAAAGCATCAATAAATGCAATCATCTATTTTTACCTTATCTACATAGGCAGCTTTGGATGTGGAGTTAGGTGGTGAATTTGACTTGTCCAAGTAGAACGCCCTGTAAGAATCCACAGAATAAATGATCATTTATTGTCAGAAAAATTAAAATGCATGAAGGTATGCAAGTTTCGCTGACTTCCTGTTAAAGACAAATGAATAAATAAGTGTTGAAACTATGATGGGTGGGATGGCAAAAAAAGTTCATAGTCTTCCATTCAGAAAAAATGACTGAAGCCACCACCACCAGCTCCATTACATATCGTATGGCCTCAGAGAGATTACTTAATTTGTGTGTGCTTCCATTTCCTCTTCTGTAATTTAGGGATAACATTAGCTTCTACTTCACAAGCCTGCTTAGAAGATTAAATAAGTGAATGCAAATAAAATGCTTAGAACAGTACATAGCACAGAGTAAGTGCTCGTTAACATGTTCAATACTTCAATAATTAATATTATTACAAAAGCTGAAGAAATGTATTTTCTTGTGACTACTGGAGAACATTATCTAGTTTTCACTTACTGATCAAGATTATAAAAGCAATACTCAAACCATAATTTTAAACAGAATAGTGAGTTGAATTCTTTCACCCACTGACTATGCTCAAATTGGGAGTTAGACCCTCTTTGAGGATACACTTGTTCTTTCTGTCACCAGAATGCAATATGGCAACAAGTATTCTAATACATGAAGTTGAATCCTAGTGGCCTGCAATAATTAAGCTCAAGTTCCAAAGAATTATTGCTGCATTTGCTCAGCTCTTGGCTCAATACTAAACTGAAGTTGTAAGGAAATGACCCATGAAGACAGGATACATTTAAGCTATAGTTAATCTACTATCTATTTTTGATGAGGTGGAATTATTTTCAAGATTTGAGCGCTTAATATTGACATACCAAAATAAGTTCCATAGTATTAGAATGATTGTCCAACAAGATACTGAAATAAAACTGATTAGAGTGATGTTGTGGAGCACCTTTTAGAACTTCAAAATACTGGCAGATTATTATCAAATGCATGAGTTGTAGTGGGAAAAATCAGTGAGAGAGAACTTAATGACCAGAGACCCACTATGCACACATGTGCATGCAGACACAGACACACGCACACGCACACACACACATACACAGCCATTGCAATGACCACTGTAGCTAGCAGTGACGTTTATTTTTGTCTTTTAAAGATAAAGTAGCATGCATTAATCAAGTTTTATACTTTAAACTACAAAACGTTAAGAATAACTTCCAAAATGAAAATTATGCTCATTCATACTGTGAATTAGTTTATTCATCTCTCACATACAAATCCAAACAATAACAAAAATTTTAAAACAGTTCCAGATCCAAACTTAGTTGTTATTCATTATAATTCACTTTGAACTCCTAGGAGATTTCCACATACCATCTTGGAACAAAGATGGTGCCTCAAAGCTGGAACGCAAAAAGATACCTTGATCAGATGTTCCCATGCCTTTCCCCAAGTGTGCTTGGTGGAAAAAGCAATATGGTGGAAAAGAGTACACGACTCCACGGAAAATTACTGCCTCAGCCTAAATCCCACAGCTACCTGTTGCTCCTGAGCACATGATGCTGCCAGGAGTATGGGGACTCCAGTGACCCCATTCAGTGTTTGCATCCAATGCTGAATTATGGTGGCATGAACCACTGCAAACAGGAACATCCATCAAGGGCCAAGCAAATACAGTTCCATTTAGCTGGTTGAGTCAATATCTACTAACAGCATTGGATCAATAGCAAAATCAAATGTATGGAGATATTTTTAAATTTTCTACATTTTCCCCAGTATCAGAAAGAGATAACACTAATATAAGAGTATTGCTGGTATGAGAAGAGGTAACGAGTTTGATTTGTGTGAGGTCCAAAACCACACAATGGGGATGGAGTTAGGGTAGACTGAATGAGCAACTGAGAGAGGTCAGAGGGGCAGACTCTGTAGGGCTTTATAGACCCTGATAAAGACTTTGGGTTTCAACTGGCCTCATTACCAGAAGATTGGCTATTTATAAACCTTATTGTCGTGCATAAACATTCATGTTCTCCTGAAAGTTCTGAGTATCCTTTCATTGCAATTACACAGGTACATATGTAGGCTAATACTATAAAACCCATGTATGCACCACCATGCTTTAACAGATCCTGGTACTTGGAACTTTTGCTTCACCTTTTAAAGAAATAAAGTATTACAGATATGGGTGAGCCCCTGTTACTCACCCTTCTCCAGTCCCACTCTTTTTCCAAACTCTCCCTCCCCAAGGTAAACACTACTCAGAAGCTGGCATTTACCACTTTCATGCTTTATGAGGTCACCCACACACTTGGCCCAAGTGGAGGTACCAAAGAATATCTGTGATCATTCTTCCACATCCTTGTTCACACTGATGTTATTAAAATTTCAACCTTTGGTATTTTTATTTTCAATTTGCATGTATTTGCTGGCCATTTATAGTCTTCTTTTATTGCATGTTGGTATTTCCTTCCTTTGTGTAGTCTTACTTTTTTTTTTTAACACAGAAATTAGTTATTACTTTTTCTAGGCTTGCTTCATCAAAAATACTCAGTTTTTTTTAAATGTTTATTTATTTTTGAGAGAGAGAGAGAGAGAGAGAGAAAGAGAAAGAGAGAGAGAGAGGCAGAGAGAGGAAGACACAGAATCTGAAGCAGGCTCCAGGCTCTATGCTATCAGCATAGAGTTCAACCCGCAGCTCGAACTCATGAGCCGTGAGATCATGACCCAAGCTGAAGTCGGATGCTTAACTGACTGAGTCATCCAGATGCCCCCCAAAATATTCAGTTTTAAAAGCTGGATATTCTATTAATATGTTTGATCAGTGTGTCAGTGGTATATGTTGTCATTAAATTCTAGAATCCAAACTACAGTACACTTCCCCCCCTCAATACTGCTCTTGACGTCTGCTCTCAATCTAGTTTTCTTTGCTTCGGGGCTAGTCTATACATTTTTTTCTGATTGGTTTAGATTTTTTTTTCAACCTGGATGTTCTAAAGTTTTACCACAAAGTGTTTAGGCAGTGATTTATTGTTACTTATCCAGATAAGGTTCTCAGAGTGTCCTTTCAACTTGAGGAGTCTTGTCTTCAATTCTAAAATAATCTAAACTATTATTTCTTCACGTAATCTGATGTGTTCTCTCTCTCTCTCTCCTCCCCCCCCCGCCACACACTTTAAAAATCTTATTGTTCCCATTACTGCATTTTAGGTGATTTCCTAAGTACGGTCTTCCAAATGAAAAATTCTGTCATTTTCAAGTCTAGAGATTATCCTTTCTACTGGGAATTTTATTTCAATGACTATCTTCCACTTCCAAGATTTCTGTCTATCCTTATTTCATTCTTACCACTAACAGGTAAACTCCCTACGAGAATATAAATTTTCTATGTGGGTATGGATTTTACTTTGGTTCAGGGGCACCTGGGTGGCTCAGGCAATTAAATGTCCCACTCTCGATTTTGATGCATGTCATGATCTCAAGGCTCCTGGGCTCAAGCCTTGCATCAGACGCTGTGCTGATAGCGTGGAGCCTGCTTGGTATTCTCTCTCTCTGCCCCTCCCCAACCTGTGCGCGCGGATGCACACATGTGCTCTCTCTCTCTCTCTCTCGCCACCCCCTCAAAATAAATAAATAAACGGGGGTACATGGGTGGCTCAGTTTAAGCACCTAACTCTTGATTTTGGCACAGGTCATGATCTCATGGTTTGTGAGATCGAGCCCCTCATTGGGTTCTGTGCTGACAGTTTGGAGCTTGCTTGGGATTCTCTCTCTCTCTCTTTCTCTGCTCCTCCCCTACTCAAAATAAATAAATAAATAAATAAATAAATAAATAAATAAATAAATAAATAACATAAACAAACTTATTTGGTTCATTCCTGTATCTCTGGCACCCATAAGACTCTATGGAACATAGTATGATCTTAGTAAGTATTTGTAAATAAATAGACTGAACTATTTTGATTTCAGGGTTTTATACCTTTTTTTATGGATGGCAATCCTTTGTTCATATTTTGAGAATAAAAATGTTTTCCTAGCCTGTTTCAATATTTTAATTTCTTCTAGTCAAATTTATTTTTGACGGTCAAATTCATTGGCTCTTTCCTAGTGTTAGGATTTGTGCTTTGGAATTTTGTTTTGCAAGTGCATTTGAAGTGGGAAGATTTTTTAGTTTCATTTAATTTTTTGATACAGCTCCATCCCCTGTCATTATCCTTCTCTTACAACTCATTTTGTACCCAGAACCACCCATGTACGATCACTTTCATGCTGGCAATGTGAGTATTACCTTGTGCTGACATCTGGATTATTTCCGGTCACATCATTGAACCAGTGAGTGACCTGGTTCAATTCCCAGTTTACCAGCTGTGTCACGTTCTCCTTGCCATCATAAGCCTCTCCTGGTATCAAAAACTATAGTCTCAGGTAGTGGGCAGATTTCTGATTCTTGCTCAGCAGCAAACGAGTCCTTCTCTATGTCATGGTTTCAGACTGCAAGGATGGCTCTGGCTCTCCATCTAGTGTAGAACGACTTTAATCTCTCATAACCCTGAAGAAGTTGTACTGCTCCCCCCACAACCCCCTCGGAGGCCAGCAAGCCAGAGGCCTCAGCACAGCTTACAACTCCTCATCACTTACATTTTCCTTTGATTTGTGGGCCACTGACATGATAAATTATGAGCTCAGCTGTGACTTTTACATTCTGACTTTGTATTTTATCTAGCATTGCTACATGCTTGGAATAAGGTGGTACTTTAATGCCAGAACCCAGAGATACCTTGACCAGATGTCCTCATGCCTTTCCTCAAGTGTGCTTAGTGGAGAAAGTACTGCAGTTAAAAAGAGTACACAAGTTCAGGACAAATTATTTAGCCTTCCAGGGTCTCAAGTACCTCATTTTTACAACACATATTAAAATTTTCTAACATTTATATAGCATAATGTTGAATATTAATCAATACATAAATACTCAGTACTGTGGTAACCAAAGAGGACTCAAGAGTAATAACTATCATTCAAGTGCACAGTGGGAGGCA